AGCAGGACCTTTCGAGATGGTACCAAGCAGGTTGAGCGTTTTGTACCTCCTGAAGTTCCACCCAGCCTCCAGGACAGGTTTTCAGCTTGCCAGCAGTTAATCCAGAGAACTGAAGGGGCTCTGCCTGAGCTGGCTGCAGGCAGGTAAATCTCATTTGCTACTTTCTGAAAATGGAACATTTCAGTTAGTCTCCCTGTCACAGGGATTTTTTTGTGCTTTTTAAAGAAGAATTTAGTATGGTTTGATACTTCACACCTGTATATTTTACCCAAATTGTTGTGCCTTTCTCTCTCTGGGAGTATCGGGGTGTCTGAAGGATCTTCACTTCCTTATGTGATCATTAGGTGGCTAGTTACTAGAAACAAAGCAAGCCCAAATCCATGCTTTTAACAGTTTCTTTTACAAACTACAGAAAATTATTGGCCTTTTAAAAGAATCCAACTGTTTAGGTGACTTCAATCAAATCATTCCCAGTGATTGAGACAAAGCTGATAAGCTGCAGTAGCTCTAATAGTGCATCACTGCAGGGTGATAGAGGAACATTATTACATGTACCATGATAGGAGTGACAGGAATAAACCTGATGCCTTTCAATGTTAAGTAGAGAATACCTGACCAAAACAAGGCAGTAGGTGAAGCTGGTAATTTTCAATACCTGTAGTGTGATTGTTTTCTACTTGGTGTGTTTGAACTGTAATATATTTCCTGTACAGAAGTTCTTAGATGTAGCATCTGGTGGAAGAAAAACAGATGTAAATTTTTTGGCTCGTTTTTTTTCAGCATGCATGTCCTGTGAATAAAAATTAGTGTGCTACGTAGGTTATGCATACTCTGTGTTTTGGAAATGGAAAAGAATCACCTCTACCTCTGTTCTGAACCCGCTGGGAGTTGTGTGAACATCAGTAGTATTCCTGCCTTGGGAGGATTTATCTGCTTGGATGTGATATTTAACTCCCTGAGCAGACAACTTCCAGCCAGTGCAGAACATGGGCAGATGCCAGCATACTTTGAAGATTTGTTAGGGTTTGGTTTTTTTTTTTCCTTTTTTTTCCTTTTTTTCAGTGCGTTGGACAGTCATAAAGGAATGTTTCATCCTTAGATTTTTGTTGAAAATTGTCACTTAAAGAACCACGGTGGCTTTGGGTCCATTTACTAAAAAAATAAAGGTGTGTCTACATAGTTTTGTGGGTTTTTTTCAGCAAGGCTAGCTTTATGCTGTGCTACTTCTGCATGTAAGCGTTCCTTTCAGAAAGCAAGTCATGTGTTGCCTGAACGCTCGTGGTTCAGGTAAGACTTTGTAGAGCATCTGCTGCCATACGTGAGCACCTGTGTTCAGCATGTGAGTGATGGGGAGGGACGCCCAGCTCTAGGTACCATGTCTGACACTCATGTCAAGAAGTTCCCTGTAGCTGCTGTGTGCTGTGCACATCCTTTGTTCTTCCTCAGCTGGTGAGGAGGAGTGTGAAGAAGGGTGGCAGTGATGCTTCGAGCTGGCTCTTTCACCCCTGAGTACCCGTGAGGAGGTAGCTGAAGTGGCTGGAGTGCAATTTCAGTTTTGAGTGGGTGATGGAAATCCCACCCAGTGCCTGGACAGCGGGTCTGCTTTATCCTCTGTTGCAGACTCAATTTTGGGATGCAAGTGAGAGTTACATCCCGTGTGTCTAGTAAAAAGTCTTGTCCTCACTCTGTGCCTCTTCATACCCATGTCCTTTCCTAAAAGCTGTGCTGCTTCCTGCAGCCTTGCAGGCCCAAGTCAGGAACCAGGTGATGGGAGACTTGGAGCCTGTGAGCTGCTGTGGTCATCTCTGAAGCACAGAAACATCATGCTCTGACCTGTGCTGCACCTCTGGTCGGGTGCAGCTGTGGCACAGGTACATTAAATGCAAAGCAGCTGCAATCTGCTGTTGCTCTTACCTGAGCTGTTACTTGTCTCGTGCCAGCTTGGGTTTGGGGGCTTGTCTGTCAGATTATACAAACCTAAATTTCTCAAGCAAAACCCAGCTTGCCTTAAAAATGTTTAAATGAATGAAATCCTATTGCTTCTGTGTGAGCATCCGTAGCTTTTAAATGTTACAAACTGCCTCCACTGTGTGTGTGTGTGTGTATATGTATCAATATCTATCTGCCATATGTACGCACACATATACATGTGCCAAATAAGGGCCATTCACACAAGTTGGTGGGCAATTAGAAGGCCCCTTGCTGTAACAGAAAGTGGAGGTGCTTGTTACCATGCTGGATTTATGCTTCAAATAGTATTCAATACTGATAATAAACCACTAAAGTGTTGGTAATGGTGCCACAGGCTCCCGGCCTTGTTTAAAATCGTATGCAAATACTGCATTGCTTCTGTCAATAGCAGAGAGTGTGATGCTTGCACTGCAGTGGCTGTTTTGATGAGGATTTGATGCTGTTTGAAAAACATATATAAAAAGCAATTCTTTAGGGTAATAAGATTAATAAAAATGCCTTCAATGAATCCTCAAGATCAGCAGCTTTTGATTTCTCTGAGAGCTCAGCTGCTGCCTTTCATTAAATATTCCATTTCATACTTTTTCTTCTAGTGCCTGTTCAGGGCTTTCAATGTCCCTGCACATGTAAAATGAAATAATAATTTGTACCTGCAAGACACAGGGAATGGAAATCGAATGCCCGGAGGATTGTTTTGATGAGGTCTGCTCAAGATTTTGTTTGAAATGTAATATCAAAGGACAGGGAAATGAGATCAGTTATATGAATGGCAGAGGGGGCAGCAAATAAGGCAGATGTTACCAGCCTTGTACTCTGCATCTGTGCTGGTTTTTGTGTGTGCTCACTTCCCATTTAATTTTTCAGGAAGTAGGGCATGAAATTAAGCCTGGAAGGTCATTTTTTTTTTTCCCATTGATGCTGTTTAGAAATTAGTAACAAGAGCATATCTGATTACACAGGCAATGACAGTAAATTTCTTCCAATCCATTATATAGTGGTAATAATTATATGTACTGTGTTGATTGATGATACAATTAAATAAATTAACGCATTTGCAGTCAAATAAAGAGCTGGAGATTACATTTCCTTGAAGACTTAATTTCCCAAAGTATCACAAAGCACAATTAGTTTTCCTTTCAGATTTTTTTTTTAAATGAAATTGGCATGAAAAATGTAATACCCTTTGCTTCCAACAACGGCCTCTGCAGAGAAAGGGTGATCAGGGGGAGCACTTCATCAGCCAGCTGTAATAAGGATTTTACAGACTCGGTAATGGCTGGGTAGAGCTGTTGAGGGCGAAAGGGAAGTGCATAGCAGTGCTGCAGAGAGAGGCTGAATGTGACCAGGAAAATGTTTACTGGCAGAGGGGCAGAGTGATTCCCTCCTGCTCATTTTAGATGTGGTAGGAGCTTGCTGGCTGCAGTACCAGGAGGTGATGGAGGGAACATACAGCTATGCTAGGTGTGCTGAGCCAATCCTCTGCATCACGGCTCACTGTCAAGGCATTCAGGAAAGGTCCCAGGTCAGATGCTTCTTGTTTTCTTTCTTGTTTTAAAGGGCAACTAACTTAAACTGGGCCATCGGTAGGAGCAGCTTTAGACTGGTGTGCTGGGTTGACCTGTGTTTGGCAGATGTGACAGGGCTGTGTTGCATTCAACCAGGACCTCACACCTGCAACTACTGCAACAGCCTGTGATCTGCAACCCATGCTGACATGGCCAGTGCAACAGTGGCTGGAGCACTGGCAAAGGAATTTGGGAGAGCTAGTGGGCATCAAGCCTTGACAGGGCTGATTCGCTATATATTAACAGGAAATTAGCCTGTCCTATATAGAAGAGCTATTAGTGAAATCATAGAATGGTAGAATGGTTTCAGTTGGAAGGGACCTTAAAGATCATCCAGTTCCAACCCCCTGCCATGGGCAGGGGCACCCTCCACCAGAAGCTAAAATCCTTACAAGTTGTGCTCCAAGCCCCTGTGTCCAGCCTGGCCTTAAACACTGCCAGGGATGGGGCAGCCACAGCTTCTCTGGGCAACCTGTGCCAGCTCCTCTGCACCCTCAGGGAAGAAGTTCTTCCTTGCAACTAATCTAAATCTCCCCTCTTCCAGTTTAAAGCCATTCCCCCTTATCCTATCCCTCCATGCCCTTGCAAAAAGTCCCTCTCCAGATTTCCTGTAGGCCCCCTTTAGGTACCTGAAGCTGCTCTAAGGTCTCCCTGGAGCCTTCTCCAGGCTGAACGAGCCCAGTTCTCAGCCCCTATCTTCATAGGAGAGCATAGGAAAGGCCCCTTTCTTTGTGGCCTCCTCTGGACTGAGCCCAAAAGCTCCATGTCCCTCTTATGCTGGGGCCTCCAGAGCTAGATGCAGTACTGCAGGTGGGGTCTCATGAGAGTGGAATAGAAGAGGAGAATCACCTCCCTTGACCTGCTGCCACACTCCTTTTGGTGCAGCCCAGGATACAGTTGGCTTTCTGGGCTGCAAGCGCACATTGTTGGCTCACATTGAGCTTTTCATCAACCTGCTCTCCCGAGTCCTCCTCAGGACTGCTCTCGATCCAGTCTCCACCCAGCCTGTATTTGTGCTTGGGATTGCCCTGGTCCAGGTGTAGGACCCTGCACTCGGCCTTGTTGAATGTCATGAGGTTTGTACTGGCCCATGACTCAGCCTGTCCAAGTCCCTCTGGATGGCATCTCTGCACCAACAGTGGATGTCTTTCTTTGAGAAGTATCATCTTCCATCTCTTCAGCAGCCAAATTTTGGCAGAGGTGAGGGGCCATGAGCAGGGCAGGGTAGATGGAGCCAGGAACCCTCTCTGTCCCAGCAGCTCTTACTTGCATGTTCCTGGTACCTCTTGTCTCACAGAGATCTTCCACTGTGCCACCTGCAACAGCAGCAGCACATGGAAGTGTGTATGTTTCCTCTAAGAAGAGAAAGAATGAAAAGAAATGCATTGATGGTTGTTAGAAGAACTTGTCATACACCAAAAAGAATTCCAGTGGCAGGAGAATAAAACCAGGAAATAGAAAGTATAAAGTATCAAGATTTTATTGTTTTCTATATATACTTTTAATTCTTAAATGAGACAGTATTTTTTAAAACAGCAGCAAGCAGAACGTGCAAGTTGAGAAAAGTGGCAGCGCAGGTAACTCTGTTTGGCTAATGCCCGTTCATGTACAAGGCGTACACTGGATTGTTCTTTGAGCACCTTTTGTGTTTTGTTTTCTTCTTGGTTTAAGTGTACAGTAAGGCAGTGGTTTTTCAGTAAGGAATATATATATATTTATATTTATATATATTTTCAATCATCACTGTGAATTCTTCTTACATGCAAATTAAATAAAATGTACAACTTGAAAATGTTACAACAGTAGACGTTTTTCCCCAAAAGCAAAGCTTCTAATAAAAGGCAAATACAGACACCACAAAGTTAAAAAAGAGAAGGAAGGCGTAAGAAACCGAACAGCAGGCGCTAGTGACAGGACAGCTTGAGCAGGGAAGATTGGGATTCCAGTGAAGGTTTCTCCCGCTGCTGGCAAGGCGAGAAAGGATGGATGGGTATTAACAGATGTCTCCAGCCAACTCCCTTGAGAAGATTCACTCTAACCTGAGTAGCTCCACATCGAAGAGGAGCGTGGCGTTTGGAGGGATGACCCCAGGGTGGCCTGTGGCTCCATAGGCCATCTCAGGTGTGCAGGTCAATTTTGCTCTTTGTCCTAAGCTCATCTGGGTTAGAAAGGAAAAGAGAAGACAAAACCAAACAGCATTAGGAGGAAAACAAAGAACAAATCACAGTGTGGCAGACATTGACAGAATTGAGGAGAGTCGGGACCACTGGATTCATAGATTTGTTTAGGTTGGAAAAGGCTTTATCAAGTCCATCCATGGCTCAGCTTCAAGCTGCCACACCAAGCTCAGACACAGGCCTTATGACTCCCCTGGCTTCTCACAGCAGTTACTTAAATTGCCAGAGCCAGTCTGGGAGCCCACCCTGCCTACACCAGAGCCAGCTGTAGGAGGTATGAATTCCTTCTATGGAGTGCAGGGTGCACGTAACACCATCAGCAGGAGCTAGGAAAGGCTCTCAGTAACAGACAGAAGAGATTAGTGCCAAAATGCACTTTGGTTCAGTTTCTGAAAAGCATTCAGCAACATTTTTCCTTCTTCAGCTACCACAGAGATGCCTTCAAAGCCACTGCTGGAACGCTAAAGCTGTAGGCACCCAACTTTCTGCTGCTGCGCAAATGCAAAGCAAGAAGTCCTACTGAAAAGAGGCCCTTACTTCCCTAACCTCACCCCAAGCCTGAGGGCAGACATCTCACCTCAGGTGCTGCTTATTCTGGCAGACAGCCCTTGCCCTGGGATGGACATAGATACTGATTTCTCTCACTCCAGACTAGCTCTGAAGGGGACAGTGCTCGTGGAGATCTGGGGTATCAAGAACCAAATCCCTGCTCTTCCAACAGGGTATTTTGGTGTGGAGCAATCTCAAACTGCTATTCATGCACCACACATAGTGACTTTAGGTAGAAGAAAAATGTGAATATGAACTTTCCCAAGTTCAGGGAGTGTTCATACCATGGGGTGCAAGAGCAGGTGACCTCTCCTGGCCCCTGCAGGGGTCTGTGTGGGGCAGGCTGCCTGCTGCTCTGGTGGGTCCCTGCAAGTCACACAGCCAGCAAGTTATGTGCAGGTTTCAGGTATGGGGCAACCTTGAGCTGTCAGAAGTTGAGCAGAGAAATGCAGATGCTTGTGGCATCTGACAGTCACTAAACCCAGGTTTAATGAAAAATCTGCATGCTAGACAGAGTGAACCGCCTTTGTCCAAGGGCTTTGTGTCAAACCCCGCCCCCCCAGCTCCTCAAAACCTTGGGGTGGAAGGAGACACACACGAGCTCGACTTCAGGCAGCGCTCCACTAGGAGGAGCAGGAGGGCAGCGGGTTGCACGCCGATTGCTGGGGTGGCTTTCGGCCACCTATTGAATAAGGGACAGGAGTCAGGCAGCGAGAGTGGTCAAGGAAGGGACAAACTGATTCACCCGGAGCTCGTTGCCACTGCTTTATCTGCACTGGCTTTTGTTTCTACAGCACACTCGTGTCCTGAGCTACTCCTAGCCTTACTGCAAAGCAAATAATAGAGTCCAGTCAAATCCACTTGGTTTTGCCACCATTGCACTGGACACTGCTGTGCTCACACACCCTTCAGCCAGCTTGAAGTTCACCTAGAATATTTCCTTTGTACCTGTGTAACTCCTTCTTCAAATCCTTTAATGACTTCTTGCCTGCCAATCTTGAACCTGAAAGGCTTGTTTCTGTCTCTGGAGGAATCAAACTTCTTTCCATTCTGTAGCATACCTGCCAAAACAAGACACAGTTTCAACCTGAGCTACATGTAAATTTAAGTGCGGGGTGTGTGGGGGGGGGAGGAGTGAAAAATTAATGTCTTGGTCACATCAGCGGCTCATTTCCATTTTCACTTTGAAGCCTCATCCAGAATGGATAAGGCATGAGAGCCAAACACAAATATGGTACCAAAAGGTACCAAATATGGTACCTTTCGTAAGGTAACAATAGTTACCTTTGCCTTCTGGTAATTTAGGTTCTAAAATGGAAACGTATTCTTATTCTTAATGCAATAAGTTATAACTCATATAGTACCGAACATTACACAGACACACTGAAAGGCTGTTGCTTGCACAGTGGAGCTTCCTGGCTCAGCAGATAAAAGCAGGCAAGGAGCAAGTGGGAAGCAGCAGAAGAATCTCAACACAGGGTCCTGATCCAGGCCTGCTCCGAAATACAAAATGCTCCCTAAAACCAGCCTACAAAGACAACAAGTTTAACATAAATATGACTAGGCTTATGACTGGGCTTGCTCCTCATGAAATACTTCTATTTTAAGGTATTTTTAACAGTGTAACTAACTAAACATAATAGTTGCTGTGGAGCACACGTTGAGTGACCAAGGGGACTTCGGCTATGTGTGTCCCAAAGCTCACCACAGCCAGCAGGAGCTTTCCACACGCTTCCATGGGTGGGGATGTAGATTCAGGCTTGGGAAATCTTGAACCAGCTTTGGCACCAGTTAAATGTCTGCAAGTAAAGAGCAGCTCCTTCAACTTGTTCCTGCAAATTTAAGGTCTCCTGGGAGACCTTAGAGCAGCTTCCAGTACCTACAGGGGGCCTACAAGAAAGCTGGAGATGAACTTTTTATAAGGGCATGTAGTGACAGGACAAGGGTGAATGGTTTTAAACTGACAGAGGGGAGATGCAGATTAGATATTATGAAGAAGCTCTTCCCTGTGAGAGTGGTGAGGTCCTGCAGAGGTTGCCCAGAGAAGCTGTGGCTGCCCCATCCCTGGCAGTGTTCAAGGCCAGCTTGGACACAGGGGCTTGGAGCAACCTGCTCTAGTGGAAGGTGTCCCTGCCATGGCAGGGGGTTGGAACTAGATAATCTTTAAGGTCCCTTCCAACCCAAACCATTCTGTGATTTATACCAGAATACCTAGTAGGAATATTTGATAACTTGGACAGTTTACCTTCCCTACTTGATTCACTCAGGAGTACTAAGAGTAAGATGCATTACACAAATGTGGCCATTCCACAACATGCATGTGAAACTTCTACATAACATTACAACTGCATGTGTCTCCTCCTCCCCATATAGAAAGAACAGAAAAGCCTCTGCATCTAAGAATATGAAAATAGCAAGGACATTTATATGAATAGTACCCTCATTCATTACATTTTCATTCAGCCTCAAGAGAGCCAGGGAACACTACTCATTCCTTTGGATGGGCACAACACTGTTTCAAACCATGTATTATGAACACACAGATTCTACAGCAAGTGGATAAACCTTCACAGAGAGCGACACTTTCAGGTATTCTCATTCTCTTTTCAAACAGTGGATAATTATGGTAGCTTTCCACTTAAAAGTACATGATAAATTGCTCTTTCAAAATGCTGTACTTTGGCTATTGTAAGGTTTGGCTGATAATTATATATTAGAATAAATGCTCTCTTTGTAATGCTGTAGTGCCAGTGTTTTGGGCATACACCATGACTCTCCTGTGCAAGGTTCTGTACAAAGGGAAGTTCATTAATAACCAAATATCCAAGAAAGTTTCTGGTTGAAAACAACGTTATCAAGCACAGCTTTGACAGAAAATGTGGAGAAATCCTGCCTTTATGATCCAGTATGAAAAATATAGCCTTACTAGTTTCTTTTCATTAAAGCAGTTGTATTAATAGATCAGCTTGATGCACAAGTTTTATTTTCCAGTGAAAACTACCAGTTATTATCCAAACAACAAAAAAGGCATATTCTGCTTGCTTAAAACTCTGTGTTACAAATCAAAGGTAATTCTAAAGAGACATGCCAGAATAAAAAATAAAGATTAAAAGGGTATGATTCATCTTACCAACCTTTATGCTTCTAAGATGTAGCCAGCTACTTTTGAGCTAATTACTCTGCTTCACTCTATAATCAAGTCAGAGAAAAATGTACTTTCAGGGGGCAATTCATCTAACCAAATCTAGGCCAATAATCCTAGCAGTTCCTCTTTGCAATGAATATAAGGGAAGTCCAAACAACTAGGTCAGATACGGGTGTCTCCAAATCCATTAGCAGCTGAATCGGTGGTGGAGGCATTCTGGCCTTGCAGTAATGAGGACACAATATTTGATCAGTGCAGTGGGATTCTGTGTCTAGATGTTTTACATCAATATTAAAACCAAGTGACAGATTAAGGCAAATTATCTGTTGACAAAGTCGAACTTTTGTCAAAGTCGGCACTTCAGAGGTGTGTGTGCGTGTGCACACAAGGCTTTAGGAGAAAAATTACGGAATAACCTGCCTATAAGGCATGTTGCATAACCTTCACTATTGGCACTTGTCATATTCCTTGAGTTTTTCACAGGATAGTAGCGAAGTACTTTATTTATGCTCCAATGCATGTACATAGACACATTATGCAATATATCGACTCAATGATATCCCTAAACCCCCTCCATGCAGGCTGGGAAGTCACACCAGCTGCCTGCACAGGCTTTCTAGTTACAGACAAACATGGGTGCATTTGTAAGGTAGAAAACCAGCCCGTATGTAGACGAGGGCTGGCAGGGAGAAGCAGCTCAGAGGGAACTCTCAGGCATATCGCATAATCCTTTTTGAAGTATTTGATCTTAAATTTAAATGGCAGACCTTCCTCACGGCAATTTCATTTTTAAACACATCATAAAACCTTATGATTCTGTGAAATGGAAGAAGACTATTACAGAATCCCAATATTTAATAGTTTTAATATTAAAACTTAGTACTGTCATTACAGTCTGCACGTTCAAAGCAGTATGCAAACATTAATTATTCCTCACAGCAGCCCAGGGAGGTAGAAGAAGATATTTATTATAAAATAGCCTCAGTCTGGAAGTTCAGATTCAGATGCAAAGTTTCACAACACTTTAATATGCTTTCACTTCATTTTGTAACTAAATCCTATTAAAATACTTAGCTTAAAGGTCTGGTGGTTTACTAAATACCACACATCGAACCAGCAGCAGAACCAGAATTAACTACTCAGAGATCCTGACAACAGCTACTGGACAATGCTTCCCATTTAAAATAATGTTTCTAGCTGTCCATGAGCTTGCTAGTCTAATATACATCATATAAAAACTGACTTCCGCTTCACTATCGAAAGCCTACACAAGGTGTGTTAGGCCTATAGAAAACAGGCTGCTTCTCCTACGTTTACAGCAATATCCTATATTCAGCAATGGCTGAAAATTCATCAGGTGGTGAATTCAGAAGTGTAACCTCTGTGATCACCCCACTTCACTGCTTTTGGAGGACAAACTGGCATTCAGAGTCAGATGTGTCCTTAATCACTGAAGCTCCAGCAGGAGGGTCAGTTTTTATATGACTGCCCTTTAAATGCACATCTACTTTAGAAATGAGTCAGAGTCCCCATGTGCCCTGGAGAAGTTCCGATCCGGATTTAGATCTGAACTTTACATCTTTCTTCTCTCTCTATTTCGGAAAGTTAGAGTTGACTATTCAGGCTCCTGGGAGCTAAAACAGCATAATGTTTTATTTTGTTTCTTGCTAATGCATCAATTGATTTTTCTTTTTGGTAAAAAAATTGATTTGGTTAATATTCTGCAATAAGGATGGATGCCCATCTTCAGCCTGCTAGCACCTTTATTTATCTAGCTAACAACAAGGATTTAAAAACCCACAATCTGGAACTGAATGATGACATTGCTTAGCAAAGTCACAGCAATCAATAAGAGCTTTGAGCAAGGACATCTAGATGCCTATATGCTTAGTCGTTCTAATAAACTTACGTTTGATTCTGAAAGGGAACAATCATTATTAAAATTATTAATTGCACAAACTTTTTCAAATCTGCACAATATGATGATAACTGAGTTTGTGCAATTAGTAATTTTCTAAAATTAATTTTAAAAATCAGGTGGCTGTGGAAAAGGAGGTGTTTCAGATCATGGGTCCTGCCGAATCATTGTCGTTCAGCTGATTGAAGCTGAAGATCAAAGAGAAGACAAATCATTTTGTTAAGGAACATGACTAGGGATCAATCTAAACCGCCAAAAATACAATACCATTTGGGCTAAACCAGCAGTGAAAACACAACTTCAGTCTAGGCTTAACACAAGCTGCTATTTCTTACTAAAACATAGGTGTGTCTGCATTACTCTTTTAACATGAATTAACTAACTCGGGTCAGTCAACCCCAGCTAAGTCCGTCTCCTAAGGAGAGAGAGCTAATGACACTGTCTGTACTTGCTTAATAACTTTTGAACCTTTTAGCCAATTTCAAGCAAGTTTGACAGAGCAGTAGGGTTACTACTGACATAAAGATCCTGTGCATGCAATGAAAAGAAATCTGCATAGGAAGAAGATCCTGTAAGTGCTTCTACCAAGAGGAAGGCTCAATCTTGATTTCTTATCAAAGAACCTATATTCTTGAGGAGAGGTCAGGAATGGAAAGACATGAACGCTGCAGTGGGATAACAGCCTCTTTTTACTGATGAGGGTCCCTTCATCAGAGAATGATTCAACAACCAACCACGTAACACAAATCCACAGAGCCAGCACAGCTATTTAGGACACCTAACTTACACCTATGGTCCTTCCCCCAAAAAATCATGCTCAAACCATTAGCTATACAAAAGATGGATGGAGAGAGAGAATACCAAAGGACCTCCATAGATCTTCCATCAAGCTTACAAGGCCAAATTTGGAAAACGTATGTGTAAAATTCCACTGCTAATGTTAGCCATCACAAAGGTAGAAACTGTCTCAACCTGCCTTCTCCAGGCTACACCTACAA